AAGATTTCTTCCAACACAAACCATCCTATGATTCTATGACATCTCAATGTATTATTTTCTGTAGAGTTGACCACAGTCTGAGGACATCTATGAGCAATATATATCCCCTTTGCCTCTAGACTAACTCAGTTATACTCATATTCCCCTAAGTTATCCAGAAATAAACAATAAATTTTCCTCTCAATTCATAAATTGACCAGAATACTAAACACCAGTAAAGGCAAGGAGGCACAGTAAATCACACAGCTTGGTAAATTGCAAAGGTGTAGTGTGATACAGCCAAAATCAGTACTATGCAAGGCCTCTGTTTTTCAGCTGATTTATTCATTGTTTGAATTCTATGCAAAATTTTAAGAACAAATTATGTGTTTCTCAGTGCATAATCTGGGGACTAATGACTAAAACTGTGGTAGTGCTTTCCTTACACATGACTTTGGTGAAACTTATAGTGGAATTCTGAGTAGAGTTGTGTTGTCCATAAGTTTTGAGGAACACTGAAAATCTTGGTGAGGAAGCAGAAAATAACTAAAAGAATTGTTTGATGTCTAGATAAAATGTCTTGTAAGCAATGTTTTTAAAAGTCTGATTTAAAAAAATAGTAATAATGTTGCAGTGGCCTAATTATGGTATGGTATGTGTCTTCTGGGGGAGGAAGCAGTGAGCACGAATTTCTTTATACAGAGAGAAAGATTAGCAAGAATTAGTGGCCAAAATTTTCTGACAAAGTAATTAATATTGGAAAATTTTCCAAAATGTACTGTATATAGGTGCCTGGAACAAGAGAAATGGTAACTTCACCATTGCTTACGTCTTCTACTCATTATCACAGAACTCTGAAAATGCTATTTTTTAACTATTTCTTCTAAATAACTTCACCAAAAATATTCATATATGGATTGTTTTTTTAGGACTATATTCTGCAGCTTCATATATAGCCTGTATATGACATTACTCTTTGAGGGGGGAATTATGTATGGTGTCTTGTTTACTTTGTAAAGCATAAAGGGCAGCTTCTGTGCAATACTAGTTGAGGCATCTTATTTTTGACCTTCCTAGATCAAAATGTCACTAATCTTTGGTGTGGCAAAACACTTAGACACAGTAACATTTTTAATAAAATAGAAGATAAACCCCTTGTCTACTAATTAGAGAAGTAGGTCCTTTCAATATTCTTGTTTTAGACTGGTATTGTTTTTCTAGGATATTGAAAATAGTGGCTCCTCCACTTAGTACACTGAGTTGATTATGTAAATTACATGCATCCCATCTTGTTTAAAACAAGCTGTATAGACACATATAATGAACAACTTCAGGGAAAAACATGCTGATCCAAAGGATGGATGGCTAGAACACAGAATCTAACACATACTGTCTAAAGCAAAGAAAACACAAAACCCTGTGGTACATAAAAATGTTTACAAAAACCATGAGAGGTTAAAGATAAAAACAAGGAGTTAAGCAAATCAAGCATAAATGTTTCTGAAGCAGTTCTACAGTCCAAGGACGGTACTGAAATGATATGTGGCAAACAGAAAAGACTAAGATTACAAACGTATAGACAAAAATTGTTATATCAGAAATCAATTGTAATTAATGGGAAAAATAGAGAGTAGGGTATTTTATTCATTGCCTTTTGATTTGTCAATAATGACTACGGAAGAGATGAAGTAAGAAGTGAATTTTAGCATCCTTCTCATAGATGCTGAACTCCACTATGGCATCTTCAGGCCCCTGTCATACTATTTTATGCAGTAAGTCTGTCCATACCGAAATACAGAGAACAATTCAGAGAGTAGTCACCTCTTTTGATGACTTTAGTCCTGAAGAACCTCTACAACACATAACTGGTTCTCAGTTGTGGGGGTTTTTGGCTACTCTTTAGCCTAAGTTTGACTTAGTGATCTATTACACGTTGGTAGCACGCATTAATGTATGAATAAAAAGACATAGTAATAATGAGGTCTTTAAATAACCTCACAAAGTTATGGAATTTGCTAGGTATAAGAGCAGTGAGCAAGAAGTTATGCTATTCTGCTATATTGATTATATTTTCAGGAGGTCAGACAGAAAAGTTAAACTGAGAACCAGAACCCGATATTTTCTTTACAGTATTGGTTATTCTTTTCTACAAATTTTGCATTTATTATTCCCACTCTACCTTCAGGACTCTAACATCAATAAAGTAGATAAACTTGAATATATTTCTCTTTTCTATAAGCCATCTGAAATCCTGTCAGTCAAAGGATTTTTCTTCAAATATTCTCTGCTTTTGAAAGGAATAGGAATAAGGAGTGTTATTACAAGGCTTAATTACTATGCTATATTACAAATGCTTTGCCTCTTGTTCCTTCTTTTGTATATTTAACTTTGCCTAAAATTGTTGTAACGGTAACTTTATGTCATGAAACTAAAGAAGTCTTCTCTAATTAAAATTTGAACCTTATTTGATTATTTAGTGTTGGTCCTGTTAACAACTTTGAAGCCTATATATTCCATCAAAATCAATGCAAGAAAACACTGTAAGTACAATACAAAAATCTTGTCTACTTCATGCATGTTTCAAAGCTTAGTCTTTGCTCCTTCCCTCTTACTTTAACGCAAGACATACACAGAACATGTTATGTTTATAAAGTTGTTATTGATGCCAAAATTACTGTTTTCCACCCAGAAATTATTTTGCTTTTTATTTTATAGTATTCTAGTCCAGTATTGTTTCCTGAATTGCATTATGTTATCTGAGCAATTAGCAAGAAACTGTTCTATAGTTTCTACCACTCTGCCAAACACATACTTGCTTTGCACATTTTCTCAGTGCAAAGTTTCCTTTTTGAAGATTCCTTCACAGACTTCTTGACAGAGCTGCCAGAACTTCAAAAAATATATTAATGAGTCAGTGTGTAGGATGAGGAAGACAGTACAACTACTTGTTCTTCTTGTAAGCTCGCTGGTGGTTTCGGCAGCTCAGATCCATCCAGTTTCAGACAATCATACTGAAACACTAAATGATGGGAGAGAAAGGGCTACAAAAGATAACCCAGAGATAAAGGTCAATGGGGTTGCCTTTTTAGTCATTTCCTTTGCTTTGGAAGCAACACACCTACAGAATCTGGGTTAATGCACAGATGCTCATTGCGTTGCCTATCAAAAAGTGAAGCTGGTGATTGCCTGTAACTTTCTTGCTTCTCTAAGTGCTGAATGGAGATCATTCTTTATATAAATTATGCATCATCTGCTTCGCTAATATTAGTTAAGTAGCAAAGATAAACATATTAAAAAAGATGAGGGAAGCCATTCTAAATTTAAAAAAAAAACATACAGGATCAAATATCACATCATCTGAATGCTCACGGAAGAAAACCTTTTGAAATACATACGCTTTTTCAGTCCTCAAAGTAGTGATCTGTATCCATGCTCGTAGCCATTAATGTAAATTCATTGGTTTAGCCAATTATTTATTGCATCTCCTGTATTTTGTATACTTGTGTTGAATAAGATCACATTCTTAATAAAGAGGTAGGGTGAATGATGAGTCAGAAATACAAACTTCTATTCCTTTGGGACCTGTCATCTCACCTTTCTAGTCATGTCTCCGGAGAGGCAGTATGAAATGTATAAACACCCATTACCAATTAAAAATGTTTGCCATATGGCCCGTAGTGTTCCTGTCCTTTACACTACCGCTTAGTACCAAGCCAAGATTTGTCACTGTTGAACCAGACTGCTCTGTAGCTCTGTAGGCAGAGGTGTCTCATCCTTTCTACGAGTCATCTCCCTGCATTGCCCCTGGGAAGACCCCACAGCAGCAACAGTGATGGAGCTGCTGGCTGCCAGCCTAGTGCAGTGTCTGGTCCCTGCACAGAGCTTCCCTCCCTCTTGGGTCTTGGTTGTGGAGAACATTCCTGTGTCTGAGGATCCACTGCCACCACGAATCATCTCAAAATGTACTCATTTTGTGTGGGGGAGACACAGGAAATCCTCCAGAATATCCAAAGAATCTTCTGCCCCAACTTTTGTTTCACTTGCCCTGGGGAAAAAGAGAGAAATTCTCCCTTGCTCTCAGCAAAAATGGGGAATAGTTCAAGGAACTGGCAAAAAAAATAAGCCAAATTTAAAAAATAAATAAGTAAAAAACCTTATTAGCTTCTTCTGTGAAAAGGGAAGCATGAGGTTTTTTAGAGAGTTGAAACAAGTAAAAGAGAAACATGTATTAAGGTTAAATAAACTCGTGATCTGTGCTGGCACTTTAGCTCCCTTGTTTAGAGACACTTTTTTATCAAAGCTGCAGTCTGTAGCTTGGGTGAAGCCTTAGCACCTGGTGTAAATGGAGGGAGGAAAATGGAGAATGATACATCAGCTCTATGGATGGGATTTATATCCTTCTTGGAGTCACTGTGGGTAGGTCCCTGACTGACAAAGAATATAGAACACAAGGTACCTGTAAACTTATCTAGTCAGGTTTTGCTAATACTGACTGGAGCAATTCTCTTACCCACCCTTGGCTAAACCAGTTGCCAACTTCAAGAAGAGGAGACAATTTTCCCACAGATTTAGATAGAAGAGACCATGGGATTCTTCTACTGGAGGTGCTCCTAGGATCCTTGGGGAAATTTAGTTAAAGAAAACTGACCTTGTAGGGGCATGTAGCTTGTATTCCCTTCTGCTTTCTTCCTGAGAAACAGTAATAGTTCCATCTTGGGTTTTCAGTTTCAATCTTAAATTTGTTATAGGGTGGTTGAAAAATGGTTCACAAACATTTCAATGGATTCTTTTTGACTATGTATTTACCATTTATCCAGTATCTCCCAAAGTTTCTCTAAAGCTAACGGATCAATCCTGATTTCTTGAGAAAGCACAAAATGTGATCAGTGTGGTATGACCTTTTTGAAGGGAAAAAGTAGGACTTTGATGTGCAAATATGCAGTCCATATAGGTAGTAACATTTTTGGTATATTAATGTTTTATGCAGAAGCCTTTGCTTTCAGTCTGGTACAGAAACTTACATTTTCAGGAAGATCCGACAGGAGCTGGAGAGTTCATTCTTTTTCTTTCTGGGCAGTCACCCAATTATTCAGGTAAAAAGAAAGAACTTGTTACACTTGCAGGCAAACCTCTGTGGGAAACCTGATGTTTAGATGGCAGTTGCAAAGGGTTTTCCACCTTCCTCCAGAGCATCTTGTATGGAGTGGAGACACTCAAGATTAGCTGAAAAATTAAACAGACCAACTCCATGAAGCCAATTATGGCTAAAAACTAGGAAAGAAGTGGGGAAAAAAAACCTGTTAAAACCTAACACAAAACTTGAATTTTATGCTCTTTATCAATTGCCAAAGCGGAAAGGAGGGAAATAGATTAAAATTTTCCTCAATAGTCTGAGAACAACTGAGCCTGCCCATACGACCTCTGAAACTCTTTGTAACCTTCCAGAGACGAGCTCTTTCTTCCAGTCCCACCTCCACGCTGTAGAGAATATCACCATAAATCCACTTAGTTCAGTACAAGCTTCATACAGTTCCATACAGTTTCCAGCTTTAAAGCTCCAAAGAAGCATATGAACAGATTTCTCTTGCAACTATGTGATCTTTTGTGGTCTTTCATAGGAACAGGATGCTGCAGTTGGCGGACTATGATGCAAGATGATAATTCTGCCCATTTAAGCCTAGAAATTGTTGCCAATGTTAAAATTCCCAAATAACCCACTGTCACAATTTATTTACTATTGGAAAAGAAGTAGAAACTTACAAGAGAAAATTTATAACAAATGTTGAGATTTATCAAAGGATCTGTTGATCCCCTTCACTGATAAATCATCAAAAAGTTTTTTAAAAAATTAGTTGGGGCCTGTAATTAATCAGAGCATCTGCCATGGCAGCTGAAGCAGCCCACCAAATAGATGAGTGAAAGCATCCTCCTGCTGAATAGTATTGGGAAAGTAAAAAATAATGGGTTTTAACTAAAGGGATGTGTGAAGAGCAGGACAGGATGGGCAGGGAGATTGTTCTTGTTCTATTGATAATGTATGCCATAAGAAGGATTTTTATGTAGATTCATTTAAAATTTTATCTACTTTGCCTATCAGGATGTTTCCTAAAGATCCAATCAAAAATGTTTATAGATAAATGGAAGAACTACCACAGGCATGATAAATAAGAGGTCCAACTCCTAGGCCCATAAAGCAATCTATAGGAACATTTACATGATAAAAAAGAGATGACACTTGAGTATACTGGTAACTGCTAGTACTTAGTTCAAACAGAAAAGTAGAGCCTGAGATGAGTAAAACTTTGATCACTGATCCTAAGGATCAAACTCTTGTGAGGTTAGTCACTGCTGCTTCCCAGGAACTGAGCTCTCTTCTGTCTGAATAAAGTGTAACATTATGATAATCTTTTCCTAAAGCCTATTCCCAGTCTCATCCTAATATTTTTTTAAAGAAAGTTTTTACTTCTACTTTTCCTATGCCAAATGAAAAATTAAAAAAAATCATTTATTACAATTTTCACTTTATCACGTGTACTTTGTTTCCAATAGACAACTGAGTGTTCAACATTATAACATTGATAGTTTCTGACATTTTAATTATCTGTGATATTAATTTTAATTGTAATGCTTTGATGATGAGTATTTATTATATAAAAAGTCATACTGCTTCATTAGGGACAGGACATAATGAACTGTCTTATAAAAATCTAGTTATTAACACGCTTTCTTAGAAACTTTATTCAGTTCCCAGTAGCAAATCAATGAAAGGAGAGATTTGAGGGATGTATATTGGACATTTCCTCCTTCTGTGTGTTCTTCAAAGGTAAAGACACCTTTCCTGTCATCAGCATGATGACAATAGCTCTAAGTGACAGAAACGCAGTGGATTTTATAGCCAGAAATATTGGTGCCTATGGATTTGAGGCAGTTCCTGAAGGCTTCTGACAATCCAACTTTAGACTTGTTGGTAGTGAGGTGTTTAAGCACCCTGATGGATTCAGTCCTTAATCATGAAGATAATGTTTGCCTGGCACAATGCAGTGTCATGCAGGATATTCAAATGAACCCTGAGGCAGAATAGGAACCAGAAGCAGAACGCCACCCTTAACGTGCCACCTGTTTATCTTGTCCACGTAGGAGTCTACACACAGTAGAGTTAGTCTAATAACCTAATAAGCTACTCAACAAGATTCTAAATCTTCAGTAGATTCATCCTTGAAGCTGTGAAATTTGGAGCATATGGAAAAAGTACAACTGGTTCACAATTGATCCTCTCTGAAGGAAAATCAATTCTCTGCCCCTGTAGGCAGATGCACCCCTGGGGGAAGGATGTGGGAAATACCCTTTTGTAGTATGAAGAATACTTTTGTCTCCAAGTAGTTTTTATTCTTTTAAATAGCAGTTGTTTATTTAGGGGGTTGCAATTTTAGAAAAAAACTGGGCACATCAATTACTGGGTAAAGACCAAGTAAGGTACCAAAACAATCATAGGTGTGTTTAGGTGTCTTCAAAATTCAGCTCCACACTAACTATGAATACAGAACACACAAATGCATGGCTATAATTTATTAAAATCTCATGCGCGTAAAGTGGAAGCTGCTTCCATGTACAGTAGAGTCCTTGGGACTGTACTCAGGGTGGCCTCTAGCAGGACATAGGCTCAGACACTGAGATAGATACTATTTCTTCACAACACCACCCTTCTTGTGCCATCTTGCTTTTCTCAAAGGTTGTTACATCTTGGGTTGGTTCGTGTTTTTCTACATTACGTGTCAGAGTAAGGTCAACAGTGGTTTTGCAAATGCTGAAAGTAGTGGATCTCTCCCTTTATTTCAGTATTATATGTTACCTTAGCTCTAGTTCCATTGTCCAGTTTGCAACTACCATGATTTTTCAAAGCACAGAATTTTTCCAGATAACAACCAGATGAAGGTGGATATCCTGTAAATTTTAGTTGTTGTGCAGTTCTTTCCTATGTTCTCTAATCTTTCATATTGTGAAAATAGTCTGGTAGTCTAGTGCTACAGAAATTAATAACTTGCACTTCTATTATGCTGCCTCTGAGGCTATCTCAGAATCAATATTAAATCAACACATACAACTTAATATTAGAAACAAAATACTGCTCTTCTATACGTTTGAAAACTCAACAGTGAAAAAAAAAAGGTAGACAAATTTGCTTCTAATTTAGATATTACAACTATGCAAAAAAATATTAACTAGTTTATGCACCTCAACACCCATGGTGAAACTTACATAAAAAAGAATCAAGGACAATAAAGCACAGGAATAAATGACAGTCCACTCAACTACTAGTTCAGTAGTTTAAATTAGAAGACATTTCCCTTGGATGTGCAGTAAGCACAAATAGACTCGGGTATTTTGGTGTTCAAGACTATAGTTTAACCAGGATTTGAGTTTCCAGTAAATGTAATAGGCCAAGAGGTTACACATCCAGCACTCCATTTGACCTATCTTTGATGGCAGCCAAAAGTGATGGCTGTAAAAGGACCTGTATGATAGAAAGTCACAGTGCTATTCAAATTTCCCATGGACGAATATCTTCACAGCTATGGCAGGTGGTGTTGGTAGTCTTGACAGATGCATCAAAGATTTAATGATATGGAAGTTACACCATTGCAGTGTTCTGATGCTCTGGCTAATGAGAAATCTCTGTTGGAGCTTGAAACTAAGTGAGTCTTTAACAGGCAAAGCGACAAACAGAGAGCTTGAAAGGCAAAGTGAAAGAAATATTTCTGCTCGCCTTTTTTTGCTAATGAAAGCTGACTCACTAGCAAAACTGTTCCAATAAAGCACTGCACAGGAGTGTCACCTCTACACAGAAAGCCCTGAAAACTGGATCTCCTTACAGTTAATCTTTTCACTAGGGTGGTGGCATGATAAATTTTGGGTAGTCTTTGAGTTGTTTCTTTTGTGGAGAAGCTCACTTCAGATATTTTCAAATGGCAGTTGAGATCATCACAGTGGAATTGCTTTGCTAGAAATTGCCTAATGAAAATGTCATGAAAATGAAACCATTTTACATACATGGAAGTGGAAAGCCAAAATTTAAGGATTCTCAAAATATTATTTATTTTTAAAATAATTAATATTTTTCTTTATAAGAATTGTAGGAGTAAATATTTAACTTAATATTTTTTAAAAATGCTTATGTTTTACTTTTTTTCTTGAAAAATTAACTGCAGCATAGTATTAAGTTGGTAACAGCATAAATGAAAAATTGTGAATTTCTTCTTTGTCTGTGTGTTTAGTTTAAAAGTATTCTGGTTTGGAATAAAACCAGAAAAAGTGGTTCCCAGAAAAGAAGGTGAAACAATCCCTCCCATAAACACAGAAAGATGAACTAAGGCTTAAAATCTTTGGTCTTTGCTGATTTCATGTATGAACTCTTAAACTCAGGAGGCACAAAGTTATGTCTGACCACATTTACACAAATGATTTCTCTAGAATGCACGTCTATCATCAAGCAGAAGTATAAGGACAAAACACAAATAGCCCAGGTTTTGTGTGTACTGTGGCAAAGAGTATTGTTTCAGATTTTTTTCCTTTTCTTTAATGTTGTCTTCTTTGTATCTGCAAAATACTCTTATTTGTAGTAACATACACTGTACTTGTACTCTAACTAGCCCAGTGGAGCTCAAGAGCAGATAGAATCATGGAATCATTGAGGTTGAAAAAGACATCTAAGACCATCTAGTCCAACTGTTAACCCAGCACCGCTGGTTAAAACATGTCCCCAGGTGCCACATCCATGTGTTTTTTTAACACATAACATTTGTATGGATGGAGTTTTTTATAAATAAATAAATAAATATATCTATATCTATATACATAACTCTTAAGAAAAACTCATGTGCTGTAAGTACTAAAGGAGTCTAAAGAATCAGCTGCAGAACCTGTTAAGTTTATGTAGAAGACTACTGATTTAAGTCTGTATCCAGTAAAGGATGCCTCAGCTCAGAAGTATGATCTGGAAAACCTCAGTAAGTTGCCACCTGATACCAGAGGTGCTTAATCTTTCTCTTTCATTTAAATTCCTCTTGAAACCCTACCATCAGACCTGCCTTATACTGAATAGATCTGCATCTAGCATACTCTTGTTTTAGAAACTGAGGATTTTCTCTGTCTCCTAAAAGTCTTCACTCAGAGGGTATTTTCAGCTAAGCCCAAAACATGATTTCCTGATCAGTT